CTAGCCACCATGGGGTACTTCCTCGGGTAGAAGAATTTGCATCACAGATTACGTCTTCAGTTAGTTATAGTGATTAGTGTTGGGGTTAGGGTTAGGGAAGGGTTAGGGTAAGGGTTAGATTAAGGATTAGGCTTAGAGATAGGGATTGGGTTATATCTGACGCGACAAACAACACAACTAACCGATCACGTGATCAGTTTTCCTCTACCCGAGGAACTAGCCAGATTACAAAAGCATAAAATAGAACAAAGGTAATTGCCGATTGTTCAAAACCGTGTCACGTGCCGGTCCACAAAACCTCATGTTCGGCAACCGGTCCGCAATGAAACATCTATTGACCAGTTAATAATAAAATGGGTGCAATACGCATGCGTGTCAACCGCGGAGTTTCAAAGTTCATTTTTTAAACTTTTTATTTACGGCGTTTCATTTATCCAGTTTTGGTTTCAAATTAAGTTCACTCAAATAATCGACTGATGAATTATTCATACTTTAACACTTATCTATCTATAAGTGGCTCTGGTCCACAAAACACACTGTTTCCCTCGATCTCAGTAAATATAAAGTGATAATACATAAGTTTAATGTTTAGTTACTTTTGTTCTATTCAGTCTATGCTTATGTAAACTAGAATAATAGTAACTAGGCATGTGAGTTACTCCATAGCTGTGAATTGGCTGGAAATACGACGACATAAGTTAAATTTCAAAACTTTTATGTGTTCATATGCAGTGAATCAAACGAAAAATGCATCCTTTGTTACAATTATTTAAAATATTACAAAAATAAAAAAAAACAACTAAATTTTATCGCCATATTTCGCCATAATTCGGCAACCGCTACAATAATGCCAAAGTCAAAACAAAATAGTAAATGACAACAGACTACAAAAGCGGAAGTGGGAAGGTTGTAGTATTTTGACTGCAATTATGTACAAAAATATGTTGCATCCATGCTGCAAGAATTAATGTCCGACCTTTCCGGCAAAATTTCCATTTACAGGGACAGAAAAAGATTACGAGACGAGTTGAATAAAAAAGTTAAAGCACCGAACACTTTTTATATACAGCCAGAGATACTGACAGCTTTGAAATTTGCTACAACCACAGAAAGTACTGCCCGATTATACCTTAAAAAGATATTTAACAGTTGTGAAATTATTCATGCGAATAAGCCAAGAATGGTTAAGGTTGTATTTTTAATGTTTTTATGTTGTGAATTAGAACCTGGATAATAAACCAGCTTATTTAACTTTTTAATTATTACTAGTGTCGCTGATCAGCGAACACGCGAATGTAAACAAACAGCTAAAAATAGACCCAATTTGGAGATTTATAACTTTTCAGAAAATTGCTTGCAGACGAGTTTTATTCCTGATTACTTAACTTTAGTAGGTATACTTTCAAATTACATGCCTTTTGAACTTCAGATAGGTGCCACTTTTGAGCTATTTTAAGTAAAATATGAGCAATTTTCAGCCTCTCGTCGCCATCTTGAAAACATAGTTTCGTAAAACTATAAAAAAATCGTATTAAGCAAATAAAGTTGTTCAATCTCCATGTAAACGAGAGTATTAGTGTTAATCTTGCATGTGAACAGTAACTGGAGGGGATAAACGCATCACAACGTTTTTAAAAAATCAGATGAATTCTTGTAAAATTCCCCTTCATTTCCGGTCTGAAAATATTCTCGCAAGGTCAAATTTCAACATGGCTATAACTCCTATAAAACAGAAAGTTGAAACGTTCTGAAAGAAGCTCGATTAATATTGACCAAAGTCTAGTTCATATGCAAAATATGAGCTAAATCTATTTTCCTTTCCCCAAACCAGTGGGTGGATTTTACTGAGAGGCCCTCTTAAGTTTTGTTAGTCTTGTTTAAGGTAAAGGCTTTTCCATTCAAAAAAAAAGATAAAACCATATTTTCCAACCAAAGTCAACTTTTACTTTATGTAGCGCGGCGCCACGTTTGTTTTGTTTTGAAGCAATCTGTGACCGTTACTTCTTTAAACTAATTAACTGCTTTAAACTGATTGGTTGATTTTATCATCACATTGTTTTTCCACCAATCAGATCAGTTTGTTACAGATTTTTGCACTGTGATTACAAAAAATTGCCCTGTGATTACAGAAAATTGAACTGTGATTACAGAAATTGCACTGCTGCATGTTTGAGATTAACTGCTCTGAAATCAACCAATCACAGTCGAGTAATATTTTTAAGCAAGTACAAAGCAAAAAGAGAGGTTGTTCATATATTGATGTGCATTACAAATGGATTAAGCGCCGCATATACAGAGAAAAGCGCCAAACTTTGACCTTTAAGCGCGAAAAGGATTATTATTATGAGATTGTATATCCATACATGTTAGCACATTTATGCTTAAATCAAGTGAATTTAATTCCCAAAGCTAGGAGTCGATCGCGAGCACATCACACAAACAACTTTCTTTGACATTAAAGAGCTTAAAAATCCAATGAATTTGCCAGGTTTGCTATCGAATTGGGTTAAACGAGCAAATAAACTCCGAGAAAGATGAAAACCAAAACAGCTTTTGGAACGTCGCAACTACGGAGTGTTCGGACTCAATTACATATACTCTGTATGCATATCCATCGTGCTTTACGCGCTTAGAGGTCGAGGTTTAGCGGTTGACTTTGAAAGGACAACCTTAATTGAATTAGCTGTATACGAGAGCATTAGGGGCCCATACAAAATACGTTACTGTGACGCTTTGGAGGATGGAGGTGCTTGAACAATAGTCACGTAATGCCATGCACAAGGGGGGAGGGGGTTTCACAGTACCAAGAAATGTCTTTTGAAGACATAAAAGAATTACGCCGTAAAGTTGCATATTTGGAGGTGCCTCGAATACGGGATTCTGTTTACGTACTGGAGTTTTAGCTCTCTAATTCGCACCCTGCTATTAATTTTGTTATTAATGTTGATGTTACGTTCGCTATTACCATAATTAGTGTTATTGCTGTAAGTTCCTGATACTGTAACTCTATTGCTGTTAAGTACTATTTAATATTTAATGCTTACACTGTTACTGTCGCAGTTACTACTGTGGGCTATGCTGCATAAAATTTTAGAAATAAAATGTCAAACTTCGGAATGTATCACTTAGAGTGAACAGCGACCATTTCATAATTCCAACGATGACTGGCATATTCCAGAAAAAGAAGTGAAAATGGGTGAACAGATAGGGTCGGGCTCATTTGGGACGGTTTTTAAAGGGGAATGGCATGGTAAGTTCTTTTATAATTTATTTGATAGTTTTATCATTTCGAATTTTATTTTTATTGTTTGTTCTTTAAAATTCACGAAATGTTGTATTACCTAGTATAAGAATAGGTAATGAAAACACAGGATAGACAACTCATGATCACGCATGATGTTTTCGGCGTGCTGATGGCGTCTCAACGTTGTTGAAAACTATGACATCACTAAATCCAAAATAATGTACATTTAGCAATAATTGTAATAAATGTAAAAAGAAACATAAAATAAAACAAAAAAATCGACGAAATACTCTGGGTTTAAGTTCGAACCCACCTGCTGATGTATGTTTAGGAGGTGGGTTCGAGATCGATGATTCGGCGGCGGCCATTATGAAGCGATTTGAACAAATTTCAGACGAAGATTTAAATAAAAAATAAATTAACTGTTTTTAATTGTTTTATAATTATTATTTTTTTATTTTGTTTGATAAATGTGGAATATTCTGTATTCAAAGTGGAAGAGAGGAAAGATGGCCGCCAAAATTTGTTCGGCACGGGCAGGTTTATATAAATCTTGGCAATGTTTTCGCAGAATGCGTGCATTTTCTCTTTTAAGGGAATATTGTAGAGAATTTTTTTAGCTTCAATTTAAACCTGTTTGCGTAGTATGTTGGCTGCTAAAAATGTTCGTTATCCAAACAAGAAATTATATATACCAAAATTGTAAATTCTTCTGTCACTCTGTAAGTTCTTTTTAGTATTTTACCGAAATAGCATGTGATAAAAACCAAACATACTTGCAGGTTCGGTGAGTCCGGGATTGGACGCACATCGGGTGGCTGGACGTTTCCCGAACTCCCAGCTACGGGAAACTTCCAGCCACCCTCGGTGCGTCCAATCCGGGACTCACCTCCCTGCAAGTATATTTGTTATAAAGCCCGTTCTCAACTAGGCGAATTTATTCGTGCTAAGCGATTTTTTCCATTGTCGCGGCATCGCTTATCACGTCAAAGGAAACAGTCGCTTTGCCCGAATAAATTTGCCTTTGTGAGCTCTAACCACAACTGGTCGGCAGGTTCGATTCCTGCCAGAAGGCCTATTGAGCATTTTTCGCAGCTGCATGCTCCTGCATGCTAAGGTTTAAAATTATATATATATATATATATATATATATATATATATATATATATATATATATATATATATATATATATATATAATTTCCTCATTTGAAAGAACTTTTGAAACTATTTAATAACTTCTTTTACCGAGTCTTCATATCTTGCTTAGTTCTTGAAATATTTATTTTCACTTGAAGTAATGAGATGTCAGCCATCTTGGATAAAATTTTGATCTCATTAACGGTAGTTTTGGTGACGTCACAACAGAGATTAACCATATAAAAGTATTCGTTACTGACCAAATATTGATTGGTAGATGTTTTAAACGTTATTTCCAAGAGCACACAGAGTATAATTTTGAGTTCAAAATGATTAGTGGTTGTCTAGATAAAAATATTGCGTGACCCCTGTTGTGACGTAACATGCATATCCACAAAAATCCAAGATGGCTGACATTTGATTTCTTTCGATTAAAATACTTGTACAAGTAAGCAAGATATGAAAAAACGGTAAAAAAGTTTTATATATGGTTTTAAATGTTCTTTCAAACGAGAAAATAAAAAAATATATTGCCATTTCCTTTTAAGGTTTTCTTTGTGTGTGGCGAAAACGCTGCTTCGTTTATCGGAACGAAACGGGAAGCCATTTTGTTTTTGTCAGGAGGTGAATATAGTGCCAGGGTACTCGGCGTTGAGTAACCAATGAAATTGCGTGAAAAGCACTATTCACCTCCCGAGTATATGCTAACATAGGTTATTGTATACTTAACATATTTCTGAGCGGTATTATACATACTAAAAATCGGCTACGAAAATCATATTACTCGCGCTTGAATGTCTTATACTGTACATATATACTTTTTCGCGAACTTTCTAATGGTTTAGTAATTTATCAAATTTGAAAATTCTTTATTTTCGGTTGTAAAAATAATATTAGCGGCGCCAACATATACTGTATTGACTTTTTTACCAATACCCTTGGACTACAAGAAAATGCTGGTTGGCAGCTTTTAACAAAAACTAAATGGCTTCAAAGAAATTTTTGGCGCATTTTCAGGTGTTGCCCAGTCGTGTAGTTTGAAACGGTCCCTAACAAATAAATCTCAATGTAGCTACTAGAATGCGGAAAAATATAAGGACATCGAAGAACACGCTGTACAACGTTACTGTCGTTACTACTTTGGCATGAATTATTTTGATATGTTGGGTTGCTGCCACCAGCTAGTTTCTTGGTATTAAATGTCTAAGAATTCATTGTGTTTAGGTACAGTTGCTGTTAAACGATTAAATACAACGGACCCCACACCGGCCCAACTTCAAGCTTTCGAGAACGAAGTAGCCGTACTACGGTAATGTATCTAAGCTCGCATATAATACAGTTCTGCAACATCGTTAAATAATTATTCAATTGCATGCGATTAAAGCAGGAAATAAGGTGCAAAGACGTACAAATGATTTCATACTGAATAGAATTGTGAATATTCATTGCAATCGTTAATTGTTCCCCATTTGGTGCTTTTGTCACAAAATGTGCATTTCATATGAGCCCGTTGCACGACTCTGGCGCACTATATAGTATGAACTATGTGTCTATTGATAAAACGCCATTTTTATTTACAGGAAAACGAGACACGTTAACGTGTTACTATTCATGGGATATGTATCAAAACCGTCCCTAGCGATTGTCACAGAGTGGTGCGAGGGCTCGACGTTATACCACCATCTTTACGTTAACGAAACAGATTTTGATTCATTAACGTTGTTATCTATAGGCAGGCAAATAGCCCAAGGAATGGAGTAAGTGTCGCTGGTTAAAGAGTATAATTTGATGATTTGGCTTGATATACGTTGTAATAAACACTTATAAATGAAGGATGTTGGTGGCCATTTGTTTCTTCAAATTTCACTTTCTTCGAGCTGCAATTCACAATTTCAGATACAGAATGCTACTGTAATAGAAGTTCATAAAATACTGTCCTCTATTAACGTTTCTAAGTCAACGGGGCACGATGGAATATCTAATAAACTTCTGAAAGATTCGGCTGACATAGTATCTTACTCTCTTTCATTAATATTCAACACATCCATAAATACAGGTATATTCCCAAACGATTTCAAAACAGCAATAATCTCACCAATACACAAAGCAGGATGCAAAACTGAATGCAATAACTGTAGGCCAATCTCAATCCTATCTAGCGTTGCCAAAATTTTTGAAAAACTTATTACCCAACAACTGGAAACTTATCTTGAAACGAATGGGTTACTTGTACAACAACAAGCTGGTTTTAGAAAGAAACACTGTACGCAGACTTCTCTCCTTAGCATTACAAATCAATGGTTTATTAACATGGATAAGGGAAATTTGAATGGTGTTATCTTTCTTGACTTAAAAAAAGCATTCGATTGTGTTGACCATAGTATTCTATTAAGAAAACTTTATAATTATGGCATAAGAGGAAAATCATTTCAATGGTTCCAGTCCTATCTCTCCGATAGAGTACAAATGTGTAAAGTTAACCAAACATTATCTAACAAAAGAATCGTTAAATGTGGTGTGCCACAGGGCTCAAATCTTGGCCCATTATTGTTTTTATTATATATAAACGATCTTCCAAATTGCTTGTCTTCATCGGCTGCTAGCATGTTTGCCGATGATACAAATATTTCTACACATGGCTCATCAGCGGCAGAAATTCAGGAACAACTAAACCATGACTTAGACAACATACACCAATGGTTGCTGGCTAATAAGCTTACTTTGAATAAAGAAAAGACCGAATATATGGTAATTGGGTCTAGACAAAGATTATCTAAAGTATTAAATGAGCCGGAAATCCACGTAGGCGAAACAACAATTAAACGAGTAAGCTATTCTAAAACTCTAGGCGTTGTTATAGATGAGAATCTTACTTGGGAAAGGCAAATCGAAAACATACAGACTAAAATGTCAAAAGGTATCGGCATGTTACGGCGAATGAAAAAAATAATTCCTAAAACAACATTGAAAAAAGTATATAATGCCATTATATTACCACATTTCGACTACTGCAGCCTTGTTTGGGATAATTGTAGTGATTATTTAATTGACAAACTTCAAAAACTGCAAAACAGAGCGGCACGTGTAATCACTGGCAGAACATACGAAACAAGATCACGCGATGCTTTAAAAGAACTACATTGGCAACCCTTGAAAGAACGCCTTAAGCACAAAAAACTATTTTTTATGCATAAGGTAAGGAATAATGAACTGCCAATTAGTATGATGAATATGTTTGATATTAAAACAAACTCGCGGTATAACCTCCGTAGCAACAATCGAGATTTCACCCTTGACAAACCAAGTACAAATTTTTTGAAGAAAAGCATAAGCTATACAGCCTCTTCGGCCTGAAATAATTTGCCTCTTGAGGCTAAAGGTTCAGGAATTACTAGTCAGAAATTCAAGTCCATTCTTGATCATTATTCCTCGCGTTAAAGTGTATGCACTTAACCTAAATTTAATTAGTGCATTCGTTTGTAAGGGGGAGGGGGGGGGGTAGGGTTAATCGTCTTATATTGCTATATATGCATGCCTGTAGTTCTACTTATCTGTATTGTACTGTATATTTATATTATGTAATATTTTTAACCAAACGGCCTCTTGAAAAACAGGTGCGTAAGTGCCCTGAAGAGCTATCGTTTCCAAATATGATTAAATAATAATAATAATAATAAAAGCCAATGCAACCACAAATGTGAAAACTATAAAACATGACGGAGCAGAGATCACGAATTCAGCTGATATAGCAAATGCTTTCAATACCTACTTTACTACGATAGGCGATAACCTTGCCAACAATCTACCTAGCTCAGACGTAAATCCTATTTCTTATATAAACCCAGTCAATAGCTCATTTTCGTTTGCTGAAATAAATGTTGAGACCGTAATCAAAACTCTGAAATCCATTAATCCTAATAAGGCAACTGGTCCTGATAATGTTCCTTGTAAGGTCTTGAAAATAGCTGCCGAGATTTTGTCTCCATCACTCACGGCCATTTTTAATCGCTCAATTTCCATGGGAATTTATCCGGATGATTGGAAGATGGCACGAGTTTTACCTATCTTTAAAAATGGGGATAAAGGTGATTTCGGCAACTATCGACCTATTTCAATCATTTCTGCAATTGCTAAAAGTTTTGGAAGGCTTGTTTATGACCAATTTTATGCATATTTAACTGATAATCAGCTTATCAATCCTTATCAATCTGGCTTTAGGTCTAATTACAGCACCCTCACTTCTTTACTAGAAGCAACTAATAACTGGTGTGTCAATATCGATAGAGGTCTTTTAAACGGCGTAGTCTTCATTGACCTGAAGAAGGCCTTTGACTCTATTGACTATAATATTTTACTTTCAAAGTTGAAAGCATATGGTGTGGATGACTTGGCACAATCTTGGTTTAGATCCTATTTAACTGATCGTAGGCAAAAGTGTTTTTTTAACGGTCAGTCTTCTGGTATCTCTTCTACATCCAGAGGAGTTCCTCAGGGTTCAATAATCGGGCCTCTGCTATTCTTGGTCTATATCAATGATCTCCCAAACTGCCTGAATGAGGGTTTCGCAAGGATGTTTGCTGACGACACCAACCTAAATTTTAGTAGTGATAATTTATCTCACCTTGAATTTCTGATGAATTCGAGTCTGATTAACCTAAACAGATGGTTAATAGCCAACAAATTAAGCTTGAATATTGCTAAAACTGAGTTCATGATCATTGGTTCACGTCAGCGTTAAGCAATTTTTAATAATTACGAGCCAAGTGTCTCGGTCGACAATGTGCCAGTGAGGCAAGTTAGTTCAACTAAAACCCTAGGGCTAACCTTGGATGAAAACCTTACTTGGAGAAACCATGTTGAGGTCATCACTAAAAAAATCTCTTCTGGTATTGGAGCTTTAAAACGGGTGCGCGGGCTGATTGTCCAAGAAACTGCTATTATAAAGGTTTAGCCTATAAAGGTTTTATTGAACCATACTTTTCCTATTGTGCTCCAGTATGGGACGGCCTCGGAGTAACTCTAAGTGATAGGCTTCAAAAACTTCAAAACAGAGCAGCTCGTGTTATTACCCGTTCTTCTTACGATATTTCATCTAGTCAACTTCTAGATCAGCTGCAGTGGAACACTTTGTCGGTTAACCGTCAAAAGCAAAAAGCTGTTGTTATGTTTACAACTCTTAATGGTCAATCTCCCCAGTACTTACAAGAATTGTTTTCATCCAGAAATTGTCAATATTTACTAAGAAATTCTAATGGCAAGTTGTTTATTCCTAAGCCCAATACTGATTATCTTAAGCGCTCCTTCAGTTATAGTGGAGCATCACTATGGAACTGCTTGCCTGAATCTCTTAGATTATCATCATCCCTTTTCTCGTTTAAAGGAAGTCTGGAATCTCTATATTCTTCCAGTCTTACCGACTCCCACACGGCAACCAGGTAGAACAGTACCTCTCCTCTTTTCCTTCTTCCCTTCAATCTTGTCTTCTTCCTAACTTATATTAATTGCTTTTATTTGTAAATACCTAATTTTCATAAATATGTACTGATAGTTCTCCGTGTTCTAAATAAAGTCATGTATGTATGTATGTATGTATGCTCGCGTCATGATGTTTGTGCGCGTGTCCATTATTTGCTTGCGTGCGCAAACGATTGCGCAAAAGTAACGGTTTTACGTAAGCATCACAGAGTAGAGACATATGTCTCTACTCTGTGCATGGATAATAAAATAAATGGATAGGACTCTAGCTGGCGTAAGCAAAAACAACCTAGTTGCAATCTGTGACGTCACACGTATTGCAAAGTTCTCGGCATTTTTGTTGTTTCGCTATACGTTCCGCTTTAAAAGAGTAATATTGAAGCATATACTGGTCTAATAGTTTTAAAAACATGTCTAACAAACGACAAGGTATTCAAGGTAAATGTTTTTCGTCTTTGTTTTGTATTTTTTTTACATTTGTAGCTACGAAATTGGCGTCCCCAATTTTAACGAAATTTGGGATGCCTTTTTCACTGTTTAGTGCTTGAAATATTTGCTAAAATTGACTGGGAATACTTAGAGATTTCATCGTAGAATGGTATAGTTATATTCATTCGCTCTTTGACTAAAATGTTTAGCTGTATTATTGCTAAACATGCCGTTTTTGAGAATTTGGTTTGCAACTAGATTTCATTTATTATTTTATTATCCATGCTCTGTGTAATATACTGTATACTGAAGAACCAAAAACACAGAGAAGAGATATACAGAGAGGAAACACGCGGCGAATTGTGTCACGCCGATATATTCAGTCTATTAACTATATAGAAAAATATATAAAAATAAGTTATTTTTGGAAGTCTTGGATAAGCATGCCCCTGTTCAGCATATTAGAAAAAGAAAATCTGGCGTTCCGTGGCTGACTGGGGAAATTAAAAAAATGATCTTTGAAAGAGATAAATTAAAGCGTGAGGCAATGGTGACTGGTACCCATGCTGCTTGGGATAAGTACAAATCAACTAGGAATAAGGTCAATATTGCCCTACGACAAGCTAAAACAGATTATTTTCGCACTAAAATATCAAATCAAAATAATAATCCAAAAGAGGCTTGGAAGACAATCAATAACTTACTCGGTCGTTCTCCAGGTAATACTGTTGTTAATGAATTAAAATTTAATGATACAAAAATTACCTCACCTGAAGAAATTGGCAATGCTTTTAATACATATTTTACTGACATTGGCCCTAACTTAGCTAGTTCTATTGATGATACTGACATTACGTTTGATCGTTTCGTCAAACCAGCTACATCAAAAATGACACGCTTTAAGTTAGTTTCACATACTAAAGTAGTCAAGCTTCTAAATGGTTTATCCAATTCGAAAGCAACTGGTCTTGATAAAATATCTGGAAAGATCTTAAAAACTGCAGCCCCTACTATTGCCTTATCACTCACACACATCTTTAATCATGCTATCATAACAAGCTGTTTTCCATATGCATGGAAAGCTGCTAGACTTCTACCACTTCATAAAAAGGGTCCACGAGATCTCCCAGAAAACTATAGGCCAATCTCAATCTTACCTGCAATAAGTAAAGTTATGGAAAGAATTATGTATGATCAGATCTATGAATACCTTAACGACAATTCGATCCTTTCTGAACACCAATTTGGTTTCCGCAAATCTCATTCAACTGCTTCGGCTCTTTTGGATTGCACGAACAGTTGGTACGTTACTATGGACCGCAAAATGTTTAATTTGGTTGTATTATTCGATTTAAAAAAGGCCTTTGATACTGTAAACCATGATATTTTGGTGCGAAAACTTGAGCTATACGGTATCAATGGCAGTGCGTTAACCATGTTACAATCATACTTGTCTGATCGCAAACAGAAATGCCAACTAGGAGACGTAATGTCATCTGAGCGGCATGTGACATGCGGTATTCCACAGGGATCCATCCTTGGTCCACATCTCTTCCTCTTATATATAAATGATCTTCCAGAATGTCTTCATGAAGCTGCCCCTCGGCTATTTGCCGATGACACCAATCTTACGGTAGCTGGTGAGTCAATAGAGGAAGTTGAGTTGGCCATGAATGATGATCTTCTTAGTGTACATACCTGGCTTTTAGCCAACAAACTGAGTCTCAATGCTTCAAAAACCGAATTTATACTTATTGGTTCAAATCATAGATTAACGAACCTTACTAATCAACCAAACATAAAAATAGATCAAGACAAAATTAAGCAAGTTCATCATAGTAGATTACTTGGGGTTCAAATTGATGAAAAATTGTCTTGGAACAAGCATGTTGAAAGCGTGGCCAAGAAGGTTACTTCCGGTGTAGGAGCTTTAAGAAGAATACGTGACTTTGTCGATAGGGAAACCTTGATCTCTATCCAAAATGCTTTAGTTCGCCCTCATTTCGATTATTGCAGTGAGGTATGGGATACCTTGGGCATTGGCCTTTCAACTCGACTTCAAAAA